ATATATATATATATATACACACAAAATATATATAATATTTTTTGTATTTTTCGTAGTAGCATATTGTGTCAATCATATGTTATTTGTGTGCTTCTTTGACTTTCAGAGGTAGAAAATGTACATATTACATTAACATCTATAGTGCAGGCGTTTTCAATCCAGACCAACAATAAGAAATCCTGAATTTACTTTGGGTTTTTAAAAGACAAACATTTCACATAAAGCAAATCATTTTAAAATTGGAGGAGAAATGTAACAAAGTCTGTGGTTTTTCAGTGTTTGACCTTTGTTGTCTTTTGCCTCCATGAACCACAGAAACAGAGGGAGGACAATGGTTCATCACCGAGAGGAAGACCTGATCGGGATCCCTTTCCCAAACCACAGCAGCGACGTCCTCTGCAGCCTCAACGAGCAGCGGCGTGACGGTCTGCTCTGTGACGTCATCCTCATCGTGCGTGACCAGGAGTACCGTACCCACCGCTCCGTTCTTGCTGCCTGCAGTCAGTACTTCAAGAAGCTCTTCACGGTGGCCACCACAGACAGTGGGGACCCCCATCACGCCTCCGCTGCCGTGTATGAAATTGACTTTGTGGCTCCGGAGTCCCTCACTGCCATCCTGGAGTTCGCCTACACCTCCACCCTGACGGTAACGGCGTCCAACGTCAAAGAGATCCTGAACGCAGCGCAGATGCTGGAGATCCCCTGCATCATCAACGTCTGCCTGGAGATCATGGACAGCGGGGGTGGAGGGGAAGGAGGAGGGAGGGAAGAGGAAGGTGAGGAGGAGGAAGACGAGGAGGAGGAAGACGAGGAGGAGGAGGATGAGGAGGAGGAAGATGTTGGGTCAAGGAAGGATGAGCAGGATGAGGAGGACAATGTCAGTGAGCGGTCGCTGCAGTCGTTGGGGAGCAGGGGAGAGCAGACGCCTCCAGGAGGAGAGGACTCAACGCCTCCGAGCACCTCCACGTTCCAACGACAGTTCGAGGCGCACACCAAGCCGTCCCAGTCCCAGTCCCAGTCTCCAGACTCCATCAGAGCCAAACAGGTATGGTTTGTTCATGTCGACTTACTCTTGTAAGTTTATCATATCTCAGGTCTTTGAATGACTCATGATGGTTTTTGTGTTGAAGGAGAGTATGGAGAGTCGGGCTCTGAAGGATTTCTCCATCGAGTCTCTCCTCCAGGAGGGCCTGTACCCCCGCATGTCAACACTGGACAGGAGGACCAACTTTTCTCCTCTCATCCCAAGCTTCTACCCTTCTATGTGGGCAGCAGAGTTCCCGGCCTTCCCCCAGCAGCTCCTGACACATCCCCACGCAGCAGCCTCACCACAAGCCAGGCTCCCTCACACCTTCCCTGCCTCTGCACCCATTGAGCCCCCGAGACCCCTCAATCTTGTTGTGAAAAGAGAGATCATAAAAGAGGAAATGAAAGAGGAAGTCCCACCCACTCTCCTCCAGGGTGACCTTTTGAAAGACTTTGTCACGTCAGGCTTGGGCGGCACCATGAGAGCTGGATCAGCAAGGTCCGAGGAACGCTCTCTGGCTCCGATTAAGGACGAAACGGACATCCAGTCGTACTTGAACTTCCTGAGCTCGGCTTCCCAACTAGGTACGCTGTTCCCCCCCTGGCAGCTGGAGGAGGAGAGGAAGATGAAGCCCAAAGCTTCACAGCAGTGTCCTATTTGCAACAAAGTCATCCAAGGAGCTGGGAAGCTACCGCGACACATGAGGACACATACAGGAGAGAAACCATACATGTGCACTATCTGTGAGGTGCGGTTTACGAGGTACGTGGAGAACAAAAACCATGTGAAGATTGCTTTCAGACTTTGGTGCATTTTGCCTACAAAGCAGTGGGGTCTTCAGTGGTGTAGTCTACATTGTTGTAGTGGGTATACTGTGCTTAGAAACCAAAGTACACCGGTTAGTACAATGTAATCGTCAATTTATTTAGATTTTTAAGCGTACTGAACATTTCCAAATTTCTCTGATGCTCATATTTGAATAAATGAACAACAAGCTTTTGTACAACAGTTGGCTTTGTATTAAAAACGTTATAGAATGTATAAAACGGTACCAAAGCAAAGCTCTGCGTACCGATAGATTGTTACAGAAGCGTGTAACTGCCGTTTAACGCATCAATGACATGTGCTTAATTATATGTCATGTATCATTGGGCACTTTTAAGTGGGTACACTGAAATTCTTAAGCTTTTCTAGTGGGTATACGCCGTATGCCCGAGTGTCACATAGACTGCACCACTGGTTCTATTAAAGAGCAGCGTTAACGGAAAAGTACCTTATCCGTTTGTCTTTTTTGAATGAGGTTAATCTGTTTTCATTTCATCTAAATACCAAAGAGTTCAAAGTGGAAAGCCCCCTCCTCGCTCCATCCACCCACTGCTTGTATTGTGGAGCAGAGCTTTAGCAACAATGAAGCAAAACATGTTTTTAGGCTCTTTTGTCAAACAAAAGATGAAAAATGGGCCAAGAAGTGCACCTCTGACATTTGTGAAACCCTTCACCTGTTTTGTTGTTTGTCCTGTTCTCAGGCAAGACAAACTGAAGATCCACATGAGGAAGCACACTGGTGAGCGCCCCTACATCTGCCTTCACTGCAACTCCAAGTTCGTCCACAACTACGACCTGAAGAACCACCTGCGCATCCACACGGGCGTCCGTCCCTACCAGTGCGAGCACTGCTACAAAAGCTTCACGCGCTCCGACCACCTGCATCGACACATCAAACGCCAGAGCTGCCGCATCTCCCGCCCCCGGAGAGGACGAAAGCCGGCTGCTTGGCGCTCGGCACCTACCAGCAGCTTCCTGTGCCCTCCTGCTGTTGCAGCCAACCGCTTGGAGGAGAAGGGCTTAAGAGCTGCATACCACGGGGTCAAGGGTCAGGGACTCGGGGAGTTGCTCGGCCTCGGCAGCAGGAGCCTGGGATTTAGGAGCGTGAACGGTTCGGGGAGGGATCGCAGGGAGGAACGGCAGGCAGAGGGGAACCACGTCTCAGAGGAGGAGAAGGCTGGGAGGCAGAGGGGAGTATTTGCCTTCGCCCTAGCTGGAGAAGAAGTGCTTACCCATGCGCCGTTTTACGCTGCAGCCTCCGACCCTTGGACCATGAGGCTGGAACGTGTTCCACCCATCCCCGAGTCGGCCAAATAAACTGTAGAAGAAAGGACGAGACGAGGAAGTCTCCTATCTGTTCCAGGAAGTTAAAGCACCTTTTGTAAAAGTGAAAGAGGGACACCGATTTCAAAAAGCCTGCTGATGGGGCTGTGGGAAGGCAGATCTTTAAAAACACAGCCGAGTTCAAAGATTAATGTTTACAGACTTTAAAAAAAAAACATTTCAGAGGAGACAATCGTTATGATAAAGCTTTATAATTCTGTTGTATTATTTTTGTCTGAGGTTTTGAATTCTTTTCACCAAAACGCATCATAAATTATCCAATTTGTTTTAAAAATAATAAAATCTGTATGGAATAATAAAAAAAAATTAAAAAAACAAGCAGGAGTTGTTTAAGTGGTTTAAGTACCAAAAAGGTTTTTGCTTCATTGACAAAAAGATGATTGAAACAAAAAAAAGTTAAATAGTTAATAACTCTGTTCAAGTGTTATAAATGAAAACAATCTAATTTGTTAATAAATGTCAAAAAATATATATATAAAAATAAAAAAAAACAGCTGAAGCCTAAATCAGGATATTTTTCATCTGCCTTCCACTGTCTTGTTCTTCGAGCTCCTCGTCTGCACTATTGTACAGAAAACATTTGACCGTTGTGTTAATTACGGTGATAAGGCTGATGATGACAAATATTAAATATATAAATATATATTGCTCTTTAAAGACTTTGAGAAATCTACCCAAAGATGAGTACTTTGATACTTCACAGACTTGAATACGTTTTAATATTTTGAAGCTTGTCTCTTCAGATGTATATTTCTGACTAATCAAAGGCCGCTTGAGCTACAAAGTATGCTTGTGGGTTTTTTATGATTTTAATTATTTGTTGAATTTTCTTTGGTTTTCCAGTCCAACAAATCAACAGGGCTTTAGCCTATAATTTTTTTTCATACAATGTTCATGTTTGTGCATAAATATGTGCTAAAACTATTTGAATTGTCACGGGAAAAGTATTTTCTTGCTATTTATGTGTATTTAAATGGATGAGCCTTGGCTATATTTTGCAAATCTGTTTTATAAAGACACTAAATGTTGAACTTTACTGCAGTCCCAGTGTTTTAATTCTGTTACACTACAAACTGCATGTTTCATGTGCGTGTGTTTTTGTTTCAGGTGTAGGGACCAATGTTCTCATTGGGGGTTAGGTTTAGGGTAAGGGTTAGGCTATAGAAATTAAATGCAAGTTAATGCAAAGTCCCCAAAATGTATGTTTACAAGAACGTGGGTGTGTGTGAGTGACAAATTTAGAAAATCCACAACGCATCAGTGATGATTTGCATGCGATAATAGGGATGGACAGGAATTTGAGGATAAAAAGTTAATTTGTTGCATTTTAAGTCTTTTTTTTGTTTTGTTTTTGTAACCTGCTGCTTGCTGCCAGTCAACTATTTATAATTCTTAGCCTTCAATAAAAGCTTTATTGTTTCATAAAACAGTGAGTATTCTATCTGAGGAACAGTGTCATCCATTAGTGCTCAGAGTATTTGTTAGGGACGACTCTCAGCTACCACCTCACTATATTTTAGCCCAACATGCAAAACAAACTCTTTTTGTTCTGTTAGGTTGATTAGCGGTGACATCCATCTTGAACTGGGTTGGCATCAAAATGTAATCTGTTGTGTTAAAATGTGTCCAGTGGGTCATGAAGTATTTTGCTAACAGACAGCAAACAAGCCATTACAATTATCACTTATGTTTTGTTTGCAAAATATTTGGAGTGGGAGCTGTCGGATGTTTCACTTTAAATAACTTAACACATCTGAAGGCCGGTGAGTCAAAAACAGCGTTCAGTATGAAATACGTGATTTATACGAGTCGGAACATGTTCTAGATGCAACATCTTCAGGTGAACGACTTCACTGAAGAGCACAGAGTTTTCTGGGGAGTGGGGGGGGTCTGTTTGGTTTTATGGATAAGTTCAAACCATGAAGCTCTGTTAAAGAGGTTGGGTTATTTACCCATAATTCTTCTGTTTCTTTGCCCTGACCTCTAGTGGAGAAATAAAAACTACTGATTTAATGAGTCACTATGAAGCAAAACCTCAAAACTTGATTAGGAACAAAAAATTAGGGGTGGGGAGAAAATTCCTCACATTATTTTATTTATATATATATATGTTGATAAATTTCATTTACACTACTGGCACATCATTATTTACTTATTCCAACTCAAAAACCAGTTATAATAAAAGTAACAAAGCTTACCACCAGGGGGCGCCACAGATTTAAGCTCCAGACTTCACAGGGATAAACTCTAGTATCAGTAAAGGGTCATTTTATTGTTGGTTTGTTGTCATGTCAGAAGCAGTTAGATCCAAATAAATAAATAAAACTCATATAAATGAAAAAGCAACTGTTTCAGTTTTTTCTTCTTGTTATTTTTTTTTTATTAGTTCATCTTTATTTTTATGGGGTCTGCTGAAGTGAATAACTCTTTTCAAAAAAAAAAAAAAGTAACTTGAGCAGCAAATATTTGGAAAGTTTGTAAAATAACTTTAAAAATGACTTCAGATTATGTTTAAATGTTTTAGTTAAAAATGAAAAAAAAAATCAATTGAAAAAGAACTTCAAAAGTTCACAATGATTCAGCTGCCAAAAAGTAACGTTTTCTTAAATTCTAGCTAAAAACATGTTTGTAACTTAATCTTGTTAAACAATAAATGTGAAATAATTTAGATATAATATGGAAAATATTTTATTAAGCTTGAAAAAGCCCAACTGATTCAATAAAGAACACCTGGACGTGCTCTAACAGAGGGATTATTATTGATATTTACAGAAAGTTTGCGCGTGAATGCCTTTTTGCTGGTGCTTCATATATAGAATAAACCTCTAGTGTAAAAAA